TTGTTCCGCATAAGTTGTTCTGGGCCCAAACGTCTTCTTTTTGGTGTATTCATTAAATCTCCGAGTCTGTTCAGATAGTACGCGAAATTATCGCTTACTCTCTCCTCTTTCAATCTCCTGTTAATCAGGTTTCTTTGAAAAAGAAGAGGAAGATTCCAGGGAAATGACATATACATGGGCATGGACATGTGCATCATATGCTCTAACTCCTCGAATATGGCGTAATCGAGGAAGGGAAGGATAGGTTCTTAGGCAGCTAGATTTCATACAGCCAAAAAATGATTTTGATGTGTGGAGTGATAATGTAACCGTTTTCGGCAGAACGTTGGTGAAAGGATTGACTTAACTTGTCTCTTTGACGAGTTTGTGGCTTGGTGCGGAGAATGGCAGCACTTACTGATGATGCAGGCGAAGCGTTTGAGAATCTACCAAGCACATTGTCTGATGCTGGGAATTATGATAACTACTATGGCAGAAGACTTCGGATTAGGTGCGTTCTACTAAATCGCCTCGATAACAAGACCAAATTACGACAACGAGGTCAATCCATTTCTATAAATCGAAAGGAGACTACCGATACCGGAGGCAAAAACTATCATGGTCTTCATATAAGTAATTTTAATGTTTAGCGGTGGCCAATTGACAAGCGAGTAGGAAAAAAGGGAGGCGGAATGTAGGCCAGGAGCCTTTCAAACGGCATCTGGTACAAATGGTGGAGATGATTACGTTTTACTAAACCCACTTTAAGGCGACATCGGAGGAAACGATATCACAGAATTGTGTGAATAAGTGGATGGGCCGTATAAAGTGGGGTTGAAAAAGATGCGGCGTTAGACGGTAGAAAAAATAGGAACGAGAAGTGATGCCCCAACGGCTAAACAGAAAATTGATCAAGGGGATTGCCTTTGCTTGTCACTTTGATAAGTTCTAACTCAGTGCTTACGATGGCACCTCTCACTGACGATTCCGATTATGTCGGCGAGACGTTTTGGAATGTATCCAGCCAATGATCCAATACTGGAAATCGCGAATACTATGGTAGAGAACACGGGACTAGGTACGTTCAACAAGGTCTCCTAAGATGCGAAAATAAGGTCGAACAAACAACATTATAAACTAATAAAAAAATTAAGGATCACTTAATCCACAAACAGTAGAAGTCATAGGGTACGTTTGGGCCAGGCAATAGCTTTAATAAAGTGACCAACCGGGTTCTGGAGTGCCCCATTGACCTGAGTTAGGCTGGATCATGCTGATAGGTCGGGATCCTGAACTTGACTGACCACCACAGCCTGAGGAGCTAAGTGATGTCCTGGCAAGACCACCTATACCTGTGTGAGCTGGCACCACGGGTGGCTGAGAAGCTGGCGGATGAGACAAAGCCTGCGATTTCTGAGAGCCAGGGTTGCGACGTTGAATGGTTCCGGAGGACTCGTTTGGCTGGAATGGATAAGACAAATATATTAGTTTAGAAAAATATTTTCATGCGAATTTAGTTATGTGTGCAAAATGAATGCTTGTAAGTCTTTCGTGGATGAATTTATACGAATTCCTATAGTGGATTCCAGTTAATTGGGAAACATCGGGACCAGAATAAGTTGGTCCAACAAAGAGGCTGCCCAAATTGTGTAATGCTTAATGTTAAGAGATATAAAATG